ATCAGTCATGCATCTGCCACGCTAGCTAATTAAAGAAGCAGCGTCTCTATGCTTTCTCCTTCTGCTTCTTATTACTGCTCCCTCTTCCAGATGCATGAAAAAACCTTGTGAGCTGATGCTTATTTGTAAACGAAGATGAAAGAAACTCTCACAAGGTAGCTCAGGAAAGGTGGGGAGGATTGAACATCTTAAGCTAGGAAATTTCAAGATATGGGGAGAGGAGAAAGTGAGTGTTAAGAGTCTAAGGTTATATTTGTGAGAGATGAAACGATGAAAAGCATTTTGAGAAATGGCCAAATTAGACATGGTAGCCATTTGTAAGAAATATGTTCCCCCCCACCACACACCTATCTAGTCCTCTACTTTTCATTGCTAGTCAGGCACTGGATGACAAGGCTTCTGTGATTACCACATAGTTTCAGAGGTCAGGACAGAATCCCAGGCCAATGTTCTACTTATCGAATTTTCATTCTTATATAAAATTGCATGCAGGATTTGAGATATGAGCAACAGAAGTATTTAGAGAATGGATTTGGGGGGATTAGAAAATGAATGTAGATCTGTTTTAATGCAGCTATTAAGGGAGAATTAAAAAAAAATTAGGGAAGGAGGGATGGGAAGAAGAAAATGTGTAAAAAGAATGATACATACATTTGGAGTGATGCAATTATTTGGAAGATTTAATAAGTAAATAAAAATCCCAGGCCAATGTTGATGCATAACAACAGGAGGTTTTGCCATTTATTACTTTCTTATCCAAACAATTATTATTTGTGCTACGTAATCACTTACCTTTGGTTTCCTACTCCCCATGACAACCAGATACTTTCCCCGACTCATGCAGGAGTAATCCATTTAGCATATAGCTAATTTAACAGAAATTAAACCTGCATTTATGACTTCTATATGGAAGTGAATTTGGTGGTCCAGTTTAAACGGGCTATACTGGAAGAGTGACTTACGCCCAGACTGAGTTGTTCCACACCTGGGCATCATATTGCACCAGTATTGTTTTGGGTTAATATGACTCTCCTCAGGGCTAGCCCAAGACATTCTGCTACATTAGGCGGAGCAGCAAATAGTTTGTGCATTTGTGCATATGTGTGTGTAAGCACACACACACACACACAAACACACACACACACACACTCTCAAGGTACACAGTATCCCTGAACAGAACTGGCTTTATATAAGTGCTTCAGGACATAAGACACAACAAATGTAATATATGTGACTGTGCTGCCTGCCTGCTTTTCCCAAAGGTATAAGGCCCCGATGCACAAAGAAGCAAGCCAGGGCCAGGTCTGGGTATTACCATGAGCCTCAGCATATTCTCTGAGCTTATGCATGCTTTGCTCCGTGTTTGGCCGCTTTTCTGCATGAGGAATTACTTGTGAGGTTCAATCCTATCCATGTTTAAGAAGCACCCAGGGGGAATTATGGGGGCTGCTGCTATTGACACACACACACCAGCATCTACCACCTGATGCAACCGCCTCACTTTGCCTGGTGGACTCACTCTGTGCCTTGCACTTGGTACTTCTCCCATGGCCTGCAGATGCTTACAGTCACCAAACCCAGTGCTTTTTTCTTAAAAATAATAATGTTTAGGGGTACTCTCATTTTGACTCAAGAAAATCACCATTTTATAGTTCAGATCAGGGAAAATAAATATAGTAAATGGACAAAGACTCACAAAATGTTTAGGGGTATGCATACCGCTCACCAAACCCATACTGATCTCAATATATGAACTTTTTACAAGAGCCTACATAAGATTATACGGGCTGAAGCAAAATTGCATGACTGAACAAGTGAACTTTATTTGGAATTTAGACCTAATTTACTGCAACACAATCTAAGCTTAAACCAGCTACTACATAGACGGGCAAAGAGGCCTATACCTCAGTACAGATCTCTATCTTGCAATTAATATTAATAACGGTAATTTTAAAATCCTGGGGAAAACTGGTAGAAAGTATTCAGAAGGTACCACGTTGGCGAAGGCTGAGCTACACCAAGGGGCAGAGCTTCCAACCTTGCCCACTGTCAGGGGTTCAGAGAGAGAGGCACAGGGTAGGCAGGAGATGGAGAGCGAGGGGGAGGAATTCCGAGCCAGCGAGGAAGAGGATGACAATGACTCAAGGGATTCCATGAGTCTTTCCAGCGAATCAGAGGATTCCCAGAAGGGGCGCCGGTGGTCAGGGCCAGGGAGCCCCAGGGGGGAAGTGTCAGGAGCAGGGTGCCAGCGGAGGATCCCAAAGTGGCAGCTGGGCGTCAGGACCAGCCTCCCCACCAAAGTGCAGTGAAGGGGGTGGAGTTTCCAGTGTGTCAGAGGAAGCAGCTCCAGCAGCAGAGAAAGGAGGGGGGTCAGAGCAAGCCGCCCTCCCGGAAGGGGAAAGGAGCAGTGAAGGGAGTAGTGTAACTGTCAAAAGGAAAGTTAGAGGTTTGGCGCGCGCGCCTAGTTCAAATGTAGAGGCGCGCGGAAGTGCAGGGAGTCCGGAGGAGGGGCCAGGTCCCAAAGCCCGCAGGAGGGGAAGAGCAGTCTGATTCCGCGTCAGAGGAATCCAGAAGGGGCGCAACCCCAGGGGGCAGAAGGACCCTGCGGAAAAGGAAGGAGAGAAAGAGGTGGAGCAGCGCAAGTCTCTTAAATTGGTGCAGAGGCGGGACTGACTCAGAGGGGACTTCGGCGGTCTAGCGTAAGAGACGTAAGGCTGCGCGCCTAGGATGTCAAGCAAACCATGAACTGCAATAAACACCTTTGTATACAAGAAGACGTAGGCGTTGGTCTTTTGTGAGCTAAGACTTGAGGCAGCCTTGACACCCACTATGCCCAGTAGACCATATGCAGCATTTCTGCCTTGACCTCCCTCAGCTAAGCTTCACTCTTTGCAGTAGCTGTAAATGAAGAAGGAATGCAAGCTTACAAGGGGCCACAAATTAAAATCATATCCCAACCACAACAATGCATTGTCCTTTCACAAAGTTCCATTTGGAACTCCACTGCCTTTGCATGGTGGCAGGATGCTGTGGAATAACAGTTTCCTAGCTGGCATGCATGAAAACTGGGGAGGAAAACTACTGGCACATCTGCCTTGGATGGAAAGGCCACAAATTCAGGGACTGGATTTATATTACATCAGAATGTGTACAAGCTGGGGGTGGGTTCAATATGTGCCCTTAAGAAACCCCTTCCCGGCTAAATTCTGGCCATCTCCCAACAGATGCAGCCTCCTGCACTTCCACTCCCATATCAGGAGCTAGAAATAGACGAATTGATCAGGTTATGTGCACTGCGGCTCCATCTGTACCACTGAATAGGCACATGGCTTGCTGCTCAGTCCCAGGCTTAGGATAGATTGCTACAGCTGACATGCCAGTACTCCAGCTGACACACATTGCTCAGGGTGTGCCTGGAACATTGCATCTATGGACTTTGGGATAAAACATGTTGAGCACAATGGGTGTAAAGCACTCCACTCCTGCTCTGGTACTGCCTTACCAGTTCAAAGTTATGTGGAGCAACCCTATGCATGTTTACTAGTAAGTATGTTTAGGATTGCAACCTAAATGTGAAAAATGGTTTATGATATTGTTGCGTGCCACCCCAGTCTCTACATGGTGAGGGACTCCAGAGGTTGTGTGCTGACCCAAGGGTTCTGTTTCCTTGGAATGAAGGAACAGAGACTGTGAGTTTTTTTTAGGATATATGGTCTTATTTACACACATATACAATCTGGGTAGGCTCACAGCATTAACATCCCAATAGATCCTGCTTCCCTTTTAGGTTTCCAGGGGAGCTCCCAAAGTGTAGCACAGAGCAAGACATGCCCCTGTGTCCTCCAGCTTTCAGCATCAGCATCCAGCTCTCTCACACAACCACTCTGGCTATTGTTCTCCTGGGGGAGTGTGGAAGAGCACTATTGCCTAGCTCATTTTTCGAGATGCTGATGAACATTTAACTGGCCAGCTAAAGTCATTACCTTGATAAAGGAGTCTAGTCTAACCTGTTCACCAAGTTCCCTCTTACACATTCTAGCCTCACAGATACAGGATTACAAGAACTGGAAGGAAGCCAGGGTATCCTCCAGACTGAAGCCCCCAAACCATAACAATATCATAACACTGGTTGCAGAGGAGAGAGCCAAATCCAGACAAAGTGGTCCCAGAAAAGTGCTTTCTGTTTATGTTCCTGGTGTTGTTTTTTTATGCCCATAATTTTCTCATGGAAATTATTCGGACTGTTCATCATTTTAAGCAGGAAAATCAATGGCAGACATTAAGGTGGTGGTGGTTTACTTTTTTTAAAAAAGCATCTCAAGGGTAGAAATTGGGCTGCATCACTGGGTGAGGAAGGGGACGATTTACACTTTTCTGCATATGCTGTTTTCCACATTTTAATCACTCCCTGAAGTAATTATTTGTCCTGCTTGGAAAACTATATTTAACAAACAGCAATTGGGCCCAGGAATTTAGCTAGGGAAAACAGAATGGGGGAGTGTTAAGCCTGCCTTCCCTTGTAACAGTTGCTCTAATCCAATTCTTCCTCCCTCCCCACTGCAGCACTTCATCTACAGTACTTTGGTTTGGAGCAAGGATGTGAACCTGGGTCTCCCATACCCAAATTAAACACACTCTCCAATAGGACCCACAGGAAGAGTCTAGGGGCCCTCAATCCTTCTTCTCCCCATAAAACAATTTGGTAATATCCCAAAGTTTGGATTCCAGCTAGATATTTTTCAGTGAGGTGTGGTAGCAGCCACACAGAGTTGGGAAGCAGGGATATTATGCAGCCTTTTATCTGACCAACTCCAGGGTTTGTTTGCTGTCAGAAGCTTTGAGGTAAAGAGAAAACTAGTGGAAGAGACTGAATTCATGCGGTTGTCTTACTGAATGGTCTTTGAAATTGTACACGGCAGGTAACAGGCTGACAGGCTTAAGCATACACACACAAACACACAAACCATTTCCCTAGGGGAGCTCAGAAGCTCATAGAATCATAGAATTATAGAATCATAGAATCATAGAGTTGGAAGAGACCACAAGGGCCATCGAGCCCAACCCCCTACCAAGCAGGAAACACCATCAGAGCACTCCTGACATATGGTTGTCAGGCCTCTGCTTAAAGACCTCCAAAGAAGGAGACTCCACCACACTCCTTGGCAGCAAATTCCACTGTCGAACAGCTCTTACTGTCAGGAAGTTCTTCCTAATGTTTAGGTGGAATCTTCTTTCTTGTAGTTTGGATCCATTGCTCGGTGTCCGCTTCTCTGGAGCAGCAGAAAACAACCTTTCTCCCTCCTCTATGTGACATCCTTTTATATATTTGAACATGGCTATCATATCACCCCTTAACCTCCTCTTCTCCAGGCTAAACATGCCCAGCTCCCTTAGCCGTTCCTCATAAGGCATCGTTTCCAGGCCTTTGACCATTTTGGTTGCCCTCCTCTGGACACGTTCCAGTTTGTCAGTGTCCTTCTTGAACTGTGGTGCCCAGAACTGGACACAGTACTCCAGGTGAGGTCTGACCAGAGCAGAATACAGTGGCACTATTACTTCCCTTGATCTAGATGCTATACTCCTATTGATGCAGCCCAGAATTGCATTGGCTTTTTAGCTGCCGCGTCACACTGTTGGCTCATGTCAAGTTTGTGGTCAACCAAGACTCCTAGATCCTTTTCACATGTACTGCTCTCAAGCCAGGTGTCACCCATCTTGTATTTGTGCCTCTCATTTTTTTGCCCAAGTGCAATACTTTACATTTCTCCCTGTTAAAATTCATCTTGTTTGTTTTGGCCCAGTTCTCTAATCTGTCAAGGTCGTTTTGAAGTGTGATCCTGTCCTCTGGGGTGTTAGCCACCCCTCCCAGTTTGGTGTCATCTGCAAATTTGATCAGGATGCCCTTGAGTCCATCATCCAAGTCGTTGATAAAGATGTTGAATAAGACCGGGCCCAAGACAGAACCCTGTGGCACCCCACTAGTCACTCTTCTCCAGGATGAAGAGGAACCATTGATGAGCACCCTTTGGGTTCGGTCAGTCAGCCAGTTACAAATCCACTGAGTGGTAGCATAGTCAAGACCGCATTTTACCAGCTTCTTTACAAGAATATCATGGGGCACCTTGTCAAATGCCTTGCTGAAATCAAGGTAGGCTACATCCACTGCGTTCCCTTCATCTACCAGGCTTGTAATTCTGTCAAAAAACGAGATCAGGTTAGTCTGACATGACTTTTTTTCAGAAATCCATGCTGACTATTGGTGATCACAGCATTCCTTTCTAGGTGCTCACAGACTGTTTGCTTAATGATCTGCTCCAGAATCTTCCCTGGTATTGATGTCAGACTGACTGGGTGGTAATTATTTGGGTCCTCTCTTTTCCCCTTTTTGAAAATAGGGACAACATTTGCCCTCCTCCAGTCTGCCGGGACTTCGCCTGTTCTCCAGGAATTCTCAAAGATGACTGCCAGTGGTTCTGAGATCACATCTGCCAGTTCTTTTAATACTCTTGGATGCAGTTCATCTGGCCCTGGAGACTTGAATACATCTAAACTAGCCAAGTATTCTTGTACTATCTCCTTAGTTATTCTGGGCTGTGTTTCCTTTGCTGAATCATTTGCTCCAAATTCTTCAGGTCGGGCATTGTTTTCTTTATCGGAGAAGACTGAGGCAAAGAAGGCATTGAGGAGTTCAGCCCTTTCTGTGTCCCCTGTTTGCATTTCACCATCTTCTCCTCTGAGTGACCCCACTGTTTCTTTGTTCTTCCTTTTGCTATGAACATACCCATAAAAGCCTGTTTTGTTGCTTTTAACCTCTCTAGCAAGCCTGAGTTCATTCTGTGCTTTAGCTTTTCTGACTTTGTGTCTACACGTGCTGGCTATTTGTTTGAATTCCTCTTTGGTGGTTTCCCCCTTTTCCATTTTTGTACACATCCTTTTTAATCTTAACTCAGTTAAAAGTTCTTTAGATAGCCACCCTGGCTTCTTTAGGCACCTTCCATGTTTCCGTCTCATTGGTATTGCCTGACGTTGTGCTTTTACTATCTCCCTCTTAACAAACTCCCAGCCATCATGAACTCCCTTTCCTTTTAGTATTACTGCCCATAGGATCTCACCCAGCACTTCCCTAAGTTTTATGAAGTCGGCTTTCTTAAAGTCAAGAAATTGAGTTCTAGTATGCTTGGTTGCTCCTTTCCGCTGTATAGTAAACTTCAGAAGAGCATGATCACTCGCGCCTAATGATCCTTCCACTTCTACCCCACTAACCAGGTCATCAACATTGGTTAGGACCAGATCTAAAATGGCTGTTCCTCTTGTTGCTTCTCCCACTTTCTGGACAATGAAGTTGTCTGCAAGGCCAGTGAGGAATCTGTTTGACCTTATGCTCTTGGCTAAGTTTGACATCCAACAAATATCCGGGTAATTGAAGTCCCCCATTACTACTATCTCCCTTCTTTTTGCACAAGCAAAGCTAAAAGCCCCAACACCCTCCTCCATTACCACCCCCACCACCCCCATTGTCTAAATTAAGATGTCTAGCATGGTCTCCTACATACATAATTTCCCCCCTCAAAAGATTCAAGGCTGAAGAAACAAATAAAGCCATTTCACTTCTCCATTACTATATATTAATGGAGCTCTATTTTTATAGCTTTTTAAAACAGAGTTTAGAAATGAAATGCTTCCCCCTCTTCTCTTGTCAGATTTGTTTTCTGTAATCTGGAAACATGCAGGATCCTCTTGCTTCCTGCCCTTATGATAACCAGTGAAAATACTCTGCTCTATTTGTTTTCTTACATCACCAATTAGTTCTCTGCAGCTCTGGAAGCATGATTTCTTAATTAGCTCTGACACCCTCTGCTGGCTGGCTCAACAAGAGCTGAAGGAAAACATTACAGGGTCACAGACACAAACGGAATGGCTTGTCTGCTCGTCTGCTCGGTGAGACCAGATGGGATTTGCCTCTGTCTGCAAGACAGACTATTCATGGCAGTACTTGCTGGAGTTTTAGACTTTCTGCCACTCACTGTCACCCATAGGATTAAGCTGTTTCTGCTCATGGTGGTTAGAAAATGGGAATGCACTTTGGGCTCCCTGTCTCCTGAGTACAGCTCCTTATCCTGCTTCCAGGACAATTTTTTTTACTTCTTTCAGGATAGTAGGAAACAACACGGGAACATGTGCCTGTGAGAACAATGCCATCATTTTACTTAACAGTTTTGACATTTTCTAATCTAGACTATGCTACACACCTCAGACATTTTTCATACCAGGTCTTATAAAGCCTAAATCACATGGGACCCTGATGCCACTTTCCATATTAATGCTCTAAGATTGTTGCACAGGTCCTGCTTTTAGTACCCTCTTCAGTAGAGGCGCATTATTTTATTTGGTTACTTGTTTAAAACATTTATATATCGCTCCCTTAGCAGTGATTCCAGGGAGGTTCACAGCAAAAGATCAGCACATTAAAATACAGAAAATGGGGGGTGGAGAAAACAATGGCAGCAAAACCAATCAGTTCTACTAAATGCTCAGCATTGGAATTAGCAAATGCCTGGATGAATAAAAAGGCCTTTAGCATGCATCAGAAACTTATCAGTCAGTTCCTGCATATGTTGGAGGGGAGGTGGTTTCACAAACTGGGCACCACAATGGGAAAAGTCCTTCCTACTGTCACAAGGACTGGCTGGATGTGGTGGGAGGCACCAGCTGGGTAACCCCCAAGGGAACCCCTAGGGGAAGAAGCCAGGGGATTGGTGGTAGGACACCAAGGAGAGGTCAGAGGAAGAAGAGGGAGCACACTGGAGGAAGGGGGTGTCAGAACCAAAGAGGCAACAAGGTTTAGTGAGCAGGAAGAAGCTGGGGCAGAGAGCAGTCCTAATTCAGAGGCTGGAGAGGAGGGGAAGGGTATGTAATACATACTCACAGCCTCCCCACCCACCTGCAAGGCAGTGAGGAAGCTGGTTGGTTGATCATTAGCACACAAGAAGAGCCTACTGGATCAGGCCCATGACCCATCTAGCCCAGCATCCTGGTCTCAGATGCCTCTGCCACAACAAGACCTAAGTGCAACAGCAAACTCCTTGATTGCGACACTGGTTACGTTCTTGTGAGTACGTATAACATTACTCTCTTAGTTTATTTATAGCCTTCCCCATCCCATCCCATGTATGGCTAACACTATGAAGTCATGAAAATATATTTTATACTTCTAGGAAGATGATGATTTGAAAGAGCAAAGGTGTTTTGTCCTGTGATTCATCTAGGAGGTGGCAATGTGTCTTCCTTTCTCATATGAAACTGCCATATACTGAATCATATCATTACTGCACTGACTGGCAGAAGAAATAAAACATCCCAGTCAGGGTGGATCATTTCAAGGCTTTCTTTATCACTGAGCTATGTCCCCTATACTTGGCGCTTCCAAAATCTTCCTATTCCTTACTGCAGTACACATGAAATCATATGGAAACCCTGTCACCCACAACATCTGGTCCAGCAGTGGCATTAAAAAAAAACAACCCACCAAATTATACTTCCTTTTCATTTGCAAAATGTATATTTTGCCTTGGACCTCGATTAAACCCCCATCTCAGCAATGAGCTTGCCAGCTAGCAGAGAGCAGCATCAGTTTACATGCTTCTTTAAGGACTTGATCCAAAGACTTGATTCACTGTACCAAACTCCTCCTCACTTCTCCAAAAGGCAGGGATCTGAAACCCATCATGGGGCTGCTAACGTAAGCCAGAGACACCTCTCTTTTTTCCTTTTAGTTGATTGTGACAGTTGCCCTGACTCATCTGTGTGCATGAGTATTATGAACAACCTTGAAAACTTGGGCTAGCCCTTGTATTTTTCCTAAGTGATTATCTTAGTCACTCCCAAGCAAAGGCTGTTAATCACAGGGGCCAGATTCATTGTTCTTTATATAGCTGAGATTGAGCAAAAACTCTTTTATAATCATGGGTGGGTTTGATTGTAATTGTGCTCAAATTGCATAACAAAACAAGCCAGTTCAGAGAAATGAGTCTGAAATCCGGCACCCTGTTTTAGGACTATCCATCTCTGTTCTTTTCCTCTGGCTTACTAGTAGTGACCTATGTCTCTCTTGGCTAACCCTACACTAAATAGATATCTAGAAGGATTTGTAACTGATTTTTAAAATTATTTTTTCTTATGAACAGATGGTTTTTCAATGAATCCATGACAAGAACCAAGAGGATCATGGAATCCTTACTATAGAATAAAACTTGCAAGCTCATATTGAGTTCCTCAGTCATAGCAAAATGGGCAGCCCTTTCTAGACAGAGATCCTCATGGATCCAGATCTCACCATCAAGATAGGCATGGGCATAGTCAAGGGGTGGCAAGGGGGCAGCTGCCCCTCTAGATCAAGTAAAACAATAGAAATACTTAACCAACTGACCAATCACGTTGCTTCTGCCCCCCCAACAACAAAAATCCTGGCTACGCCCATGGAGATAGGTTGCCTCTATAAAACCTCCCTTTAGTGTGGGAGGGACATGGCAAGGATCTTTATGCTGCAGCAAGACTTTGCTTTGATGAAAGAGACATGTAATGCCAAATGCAATTTGGATCTCCTTTCCCAACAGAAACCACGCACAGTCAGATGTTCATAATTTGGGTGGTGTACATGCTGCAGAACCACCCTCACCACATTCTAGGCATGCATGCAACCTTCACTCTCAGGACCGAGGAGAACCTGTTCTTTGGCTTTTCAGTGGAAGCCAGCCTAATGCTGCACAGTTGGCTAGACCGTGAGCCCCCCCTCAATTGTCAAAACAGTTTTGAAGTTTTAAAAAGGCATCTGAAGCATATATACATGACACATGCTTGAAAAACAAAAGTAACATATAGGACTCAGGGCTCCTGGGGGATGGGAGAGACAGCAGTGGGTCTAGAGGTTGCATGTGTTTCACTGGAGAAATTAAGGTGGTGGTCTGGGGACCAGAGCTCACCCTATAAGGGGAAGCACCACACCACTCTTGTTTGAAGGATCCTTAAAGATGGATCTGAATGGACAGCATGCTGGACAAAGACATTAAATCGTTCCCAACAGTGGCATAAAAACTTGCACTTTAAAAGAGAACAACTTTCCTTTTTCTCTTGGTGAAACCAGGAGGACTAGATTCTAACACCGCTTTTTTTAAACAGGACAGGAAAATAGGTTTCCAGATGGAGAGGTCAAAATTGGAAACAGAACTGTTAGAACCCAATACTAAGAATCTGTCGAGAATGTATAATCTGCTGTTGAAATGGAATACACAGGATGAAACGGTGAAATCAGCTATGATAAAATGGGCACAAGATATCGGTCATAACATTATGTTTGCTGACTGGGAACAGTTGTGGACCACCGGTATTAAATTTACGGCATGTAATGCCTTAAGAGAAAACATTATGAAAATGATGTATAGGTGGTACATGACCCCAGTCAAGCTTGCAAAAATTTATCATTTGCCCAATAACAAATGTTGGAAATGTAATGAGACTGAAGGTACTTTTATCACCTTTGGTGGACCTGCCCGAGGATAAAAGCTTTTTGGGAAATGATCTATAATGAAATTAATAATGTTCTTAAATTGACCTTCCCTAAAAACCAGAGGCTTTTCTCTTGGGCATTGTCGGCCAATTGGTGAGAAGGAAGGACAGGACGTTTTTATGTATGCGACAACAGCAGCAAGGATTCTTCTAGCAAAGTATTGGAAGACACAACAACTACCCACACTGGAAGAATGGCAGACGAAGGTGATCGACTATATGGGACTGGCCGAATTGACTGGCAGAATCCGTGACCAGGGAAAGAGACAGTGGAAGAAGATTGGAAGAAATTTAAAGTTTATCTTAGAACTTGTTGTAAAATTCAGGAATGTTAAAATGTCAAGGGGTTGGGAAACAGAGAACTGCAGCTGTAATTAATAATATTAGAAGAACTTAAAAGAAATTGAATTGAATAATTAGTTGATTGAGGAGTTGCTGAAGAAATATAAAACAAGGATGCAGAAAAGGGGAGGTATGGGGAAGTC